ACATCAAATTTTTTGAACGTTAAATAACATTATTGGTTATGTGAACATGATCAAACTTTAAACATTATGGAATGTTACTTTAGAATCTTCTCTGAAACAATAGCAGCATTTAAAAAACGTCCAACTTTAACATAAGAAAAAATGTTCCATGAATGATGTATAAATAATGTTTTTGTGCTGATGTTTTGAGAATATTATTAAAAACCAGATAACTTTGAACAAACGTTATATTAATGTTACTGAAGAACATTAGTTCATAACTTGACCGTTCCCTGTTATCTATTAGTGGCATTTAATGTCCGGTGTGTGTGTGTGTGTGTGTGTTGGTGTTAATGCAGTCATTTATCTCAGTGATGTTGTGTAGAAGAGCATGAAGTCACACACACTCACACACACTGCCCTGCTCATGATGGGAATTAAAGAGCCTGGAAACGGTCCAACACGCGTGATTTATGAGCGAGTCGAGTGTGATACGTGCTTCTCCTCACAGCGCTCCGGTCTGGATGTTCGGTACAATATTATATATATATATATATTTCTTGGAAGTATTGATGAAATAAAATGGTTCATGCTCCACTGAGCTATAGTAACTAAATATTTGATATGCAATCTTTAAGATTTTTTACGATTTTGAAAGAGTCTCTTCTGCTCACCAAGGCTGCATTTATTAAATGCAATAAAAATAGTGAAATATTATTCCAGTGTAAATCATCTGTTTTCTATGTGAATATACACTCTCCTAAAGGATTATTAGGAACACCACACTAATACTGTGTTTGACCCCCTTTCACCTTCAGAACTGCCTTAATTCTACGTGCCATTGATTCAACAAGGTGCTGAAAGCATTCTTTAGAAATGTTGGCCCATATTGATAGGATAGCATCTTGCAGTTGATGGAGATTTGTGGGATGCACATCCAGGGCACGAAGCTCCCGTTCCACCACATCCCAAAGATGCTCTATTGGGTTGAGATCTGGTGACTGTGGGGCCATTTTAGTACAGTGAACTCATTGTCATGTTCAAGAAACCAATTTGAAATGATTCGAACTTTGTGACATGGTGCATTATCCTGCTGGAAGTAGCCATCAGAGGATGGGGACATGGTGGCCATAAAGGGATGGACATGGTCAGAAACAATGCTCAGGTAGGCCGTGGCATTTAAACGATGCCCAATTGGCACTAAGGGGCCTAAAGTGTGCCAAGAAAACATCCCCCACACCATTACACCACCACCACCAGCCTGCACAGTGGTAACAAGGCATGATGGATCCATGTTCTCATTCTGTTTACGCCAAATTCTGACTCTACCATCTGAATGTCTCAACAGAAATCGAGACTCATCAGACCAGGCAACATTTCTCCAGTCTTCAACTGTCCAATGTTGGTGAGCTCTTGCAAATTGTAGCCTCTTTTTCCTATTTGTAGTGGAGATGAGTGGTACCCGGTGGAGTCTTCTGCTGTTGTAGCCCATCCGCCTCAAGGTTGTGCGTGTTGTGGCTTCACAAATGCTTTGCTGCATACCTCGGCTGTAATGAGTGGTTATTTCAGTCAAAGTTGCTCTTCTATCAGCTTGAATCAGTCGGCCCATTCTCCTCTGACGTCTAGCATCAACAAGGCATTTTCGCCCACAGGACTGCCGCATACTGGATGTTTTTCCCTTTTCACACCATTCTTTGTAAACCCTAGAAATGGTTGTGCGGGAAAATCCCAGTAACTGAGCAGATTGTGAAATACTCAGAACGGCCCGTCTGGCACCAACAACCATGCCACGCTCAAAATTGCTTAAATCACCTTTCTTTCCCATTCTGACATTCAGTTTGGAGTTCAGGAGATTGTCTTGACCAGGACCACACCCCTAAATGCATTGAAGCAACTGCCATGTGATTGGTTGATTAGATAATTGCATTAATGAGAAATTGAACAGGTGTTCCTAATAATCCTTTAGGTGAGTGTATAGTAAAGTGTAATTTATTCCTGTGATCAAAGCAGAATTTTCAGCATCATTACTCCAGTCTTCAGTGTCACATGATCCTTCAGAAATGTTTGTGGAAACTGTGATTCATTCAGAAGTTTGGGTTTGCAAATATTTTTTTAAATAAAGAAATTAATATTGTATTCAGTAAGGATGCATTATATTGTCAAAAATAAATACATTTATAATGTTACAAAAGATTCTATTTTAAATAAATGCTGTTCTTTTGAACTTTCTATTCATCAAAGAATCCTGAAAAATAAAATGTATCACGGTTTCACAAAAATATTAAGTGTGTTCAACACTGATAATAATCATAAATGTTTGTTGAGCATCAGATCCTCATATTAGAGTGATTTCTGAAGGATCATGTGACACTGAAGACTGGAGTAATGATGCTGAAAATAGTGTATGTGAGTGTGTGTGTGTACGTGAGTGCGTGCATGCGTGTGTGTGCGTGTGTGTGTGTGTGTGTGTGTGCGCATGCATGTGAGTGTTTGAGTGTGTGTGTGTGTGTACGTGAGTGCGTGCATGCGTGTGTGTGCGTGTGTGTGTGTGTGTGTGTGTGTGTGTGTGTGTGCGCATGCATGTAAGTGTGTGAGTGTGTGTGTGTGTGTGTGTGTGTGTGCCCATGCATGTGAGTGTTTGAGTGTGTGTGTGTGTGTGTGTGTGCGCATGCATGTGAGTGTTTGAGTGTGTGTGTGTGTACGTGAGTGCGTGCATGCGTGTGTGTGTGTGTGTGTGTGTGTGTGCGTGTGTGTGTGTGTGTGCGCATGCATGTGAGTGTTTGAGTGTGTGTGTGTGTGTGTGTGTGTGTGTCCTCAGTGATCAGGTCTAGCTGGTATTGCAGTGATGTAACGCTCAGTTGTGTGTGTGTCTGTCTGTGTGTGTGTGTGTGTGTGTGTGTGTGTGTCTGTGTGTGTGTGTCTGTGTGTGTGTCCTCATTGATCAGGTCTAGCTGGTATTGCAGTGATGTAACGCTCAGTTGTGTGTGTGTGAGTGTGTGTGTGTGTGTGTGTGTGTCTGTGTGTGTGTCCTCATTGATCAGGTCTAGCTGGTATTGCAGTGATGTAACGCTCAGTTGTGTGTGTGTGTGTGTGTGTGTGTGTGTGTGTGTGTGTGTGTGTGTGTGTTGTGTGTGTTTATGATCTCTTCTCTTGTATATGTGTGTGTCTCCTCTTGACCCTGCGAGAGAGATCATGAGAACTCTCCAGTTTCAGACTGTCAGACGGCACGGGTCTCATGATCATCTCCAGCGCAGGATCGAACCCTCATCACTCGAGCGGAGAGTTCGCTCATTAAACCAATCGTAAGATGCTAAAGTCACAGAGATCATCATTTACCAGCTTCTAAATCTGAGAGATTCTGGCCTTACATGTAGTTCATCTTTAACTCTGCGTAATTCATTCTCCATTGGTGTAATTCAACTCCTTTGCAAAGTGATTAAGAAATGCGTTCTTTATTTCTCTTCTAAAGAGATTTAGAGATTTGAGAAGAAGATGGTGTTTTAATATCTGCATAATGTGCATGTAAAGTTTTAAAAACAGCTAAATGCATGCGTTTTCATCCCAGTTAATTAATTCCCATTTAGTTAATGCATCATAATTGAGTTCCTGATGAGAACATTAGCTGGTCTTGTTATTAGTGATGACACATGATGGCGGTGTAGTGAACGCTGACGCGCTGCAGAAGGCCTCGCTCTTTATGACTGTCGGCTTTATTTATTAGCTTTATTTGACAGTCCGAAGACGAGCCTTTACATGATCAGTCCCTCATAATACTGATTTATTGTGATAGAAGCAGATTAGCCAGTTGTTATTGGCACTTCCCATAAAAGCATGTGGTCCGGCTGCTATTACTGCGTTTAATGACGCTCATAAACGTGCGACTTTTATTGGATGACCGGAAGCTGAGACCGGCTGTATTGTTTTCTTTTAGACAACTTCAGTCAACAAGCTCAACATTCACAAGCTCTATCTGTGCATTTATTATTGTGTAAAGTGCATTAAGAAGCTCCTTTTAAAGGTGCTATATAAACTAAAGTTTATTATTATTATTAAGTTATTGCAAAAATCTTTCTTCAATTTATGGGAAATTTATCATTTCCTTTAGACTGACTTTGTTCCTGCTAATGTTTTAATTTAGGGAATTTTTGTTTTGTTTAATTTTTATGTCATTTAATAATTACACAAATCTCCCATATTTTAGTATCATGTTAAAATTCAAAAATATCATTAAAAAAACATCTTATATAATATAGTTTCATCCCTTGAATATTTTCTGAAGATTAAACACTTTTTCTGGTTAGTGAATTCCAGATTAAATAATAAATACATTAATATAATAAATAATAATCTGTTAAATGAGTAAATGTTGAAAAATAAAAGCTGACTTCCTTTTCAGACCCTGTTGCCCTATTTATTTATTTATTTATTTGTTTTATTGTTGTTATAAATCCATGTGAAGTGTTTTTTGTTTTTTGCTCTGGTATTTTATATTTTGAATTTGACTGATTAAAAACATGTCCGTATAGAAGATTTAGGGGTTCCATCACTTTATGGACTTAGTTTTAATTATTTTTTAAATAGTTTTATGAATTAAACACCATGTAAATATGCTTTCTCAGTAGAAAATACTTGAAATAACCCATTAAATATGAAAGAATTGTTTAATAGTTTTAGACATGTCTTAGATGCTTTTGTCATGAAGAGTTCTTCAAATGGAGTCGAGAAGTTTATATGGAGCCTTGTGGTTTTATAGTTTTGAGGATCAGATTATGAAGTCTTGCTGATGTTGTTTCCAGAAGCCGGAGCGTGAGCCGATCACAGAGAGCTGGAGGAGATCGGGGAAACTCTGCCTCTTCTTCTTCCTCTCAGGAGCTGATGCTGATTGGCTGGAGAGCGTCGACTCGTGAGTGAACGACACACACGCGCTCAGTTCATCCGCGTTCTCTCAGCTCCTCCACTCGGGAAGGCCAGGGATTATGAGTGTCGGGAAGGTTGGGTTGTGGACATGTGAATATTGAGCCATGCTGATGGAGCTTGTGCTGCGCTCTTCCCTCACGGCGCTTCTCTACAGCTCTCAGGTCAGTTCATGATCTCCACACACACACACACACACACACACACTTCAGTCGGAAGAACTGCTCCACACACACACTTACACACAAGTCAAAACACTGAAAACAAGCTGTGCATGAGACAGAAATGACGGGTACATTAATAAGTTATTGCAAGAATCTTTCTTCAATTTATGGGACATTTATCCTTTCATTTAGAGTGAATTTGCAACTTTTCTGGGGTTTTTCAAACTATGTGTTATGTCATTTCTGTAACACTTTACAATAAGGGTCATTAGGTAATGTATTAACTAACATGTACTAACAATGAGAAATACATTTGTTATTTATTAATCTTTGTTAATGTTAGTTAATAATAATCCAGCTGTTCATGTTAGTTCACAGTGCAGTAACTAATGTTAACTAATACAACCTTTGATTTTAATAACGTATTAGTGAATGTTGAAATTAATATGAACTAAGATTAATAAATGCTGATGAAGTATTGTTCATTATTAGCTCATGTTCACTAATGAACCTTATTGTAAAGTGTTGTCTAATGTAATATGTAATTATTTGTGAAATTTACCTGCGATTTCTGAGTGAAAGTTGTTTGAAAGTTAATCCTACACCAATTTTATTTCAGTGTAGTAGTTAGATGTTTAAAAGTAGCTTGAAATCGATAATATAAAATAATAGTATTAGTAATTTTTATATAGGAAAAACTTTACATTGCAGTACATTTTACTATAAAGTAGTATATTTCTGTTTTTATATTTTAAAATGTTAAATAAAAAATATGTAAAACATGTTTAATTCAGCATTTCTTTGCAAGTAATGTCTAGTAAAAATAGTTTTCTAGTAAAAACTCAACTAGTTAGTTAAAAAAGTAACTTGAAGAAGATCACATAATAGCATATTTAGTAATATTAGTGCATTAAAAAGTTCATTAACAATAGCCAGACCACTAAAATAAGATGTTAATAATAATAAAAAAGTGATTCTATAATTTTAGTTAATGATCATTTCAACATGAACAGTTTATTCACTGACATTATCAAAGATTAATTACTGTAACAAATGCTCATTAATATGAGTTCCTGCATTAACCAGCGTTCACTAAAGACTTTATTGTAAAGGGTTATCAGATATCAGACACATGTTGTTGTTTAACCGCTCGTATATAACGCCACAGGCCGACGTGATGAATCTCTCCAGGTTACGAGCTTCGAGAGGAGTGTGCGGCAGACGAGACGATGTGAGCTTGATTTGTGTAGAAGCTCGAGCATTCGTGACGTTCACAGAAACGTGGACAGATCTTCAGAAACTCTCATTTATCTGCAGTTAGATCAGTTTGGACGTGTGCGACTGCGCTCTGATCTGTGTGAAGTGTCGAGGTGAATCTAAGAGTGCTGAGCTTTTATTTCAAAGACGTTTTGCAATTAAAAAGATGAATCAATACACACAGAAACGTGCATGTCACTTTCACAACTGTGTCATCATACGCGGTCTGGTTTTGTGCAATCTTTGAGAGTTCAGCAGAATTACAGTAGAAGGTCATAACTCTCCCCGTCTCGCCATATTTATAGCATTTTTTAACATCGAGGTGAAAGTTTGAGTAAATGTTGAATATCAGATTATGCCGAATCAGTTCACAGAGCATCGCATATCATAACCCAGAAGTGAAATGTTTGTCCTGTAAATGCTTTATATTTGTCCGATCAGGATGGCGGTGTTCATATATAATACTGAGTTATTTTAAACGCTCTACTTTAGACTATAAGTTACTGTGCAATGCCAACTAACTAGAAAATGAACAGACTGTGAGGTTAGGCTTCACGCTAGTAGAAAAAGCTGACATGTAAATGTTAAAATAAACTGTGTTTAAGCAGAGACAATACTTGCAAAGTTACTTATAGTCTGAAGTTGACCTTGAATAATCGAGTATAGCATATATTTACAGATAGAAATGAATATTATGTAGCATGAATCTACAATATAAGTTGTGTTAATATAGTAAAAGCACTTGTAGTTGTACTTCAACATAGCAGAGACACATCTGTGTGTTAAAGTGAGCGACTCCAATGCATTTCTCACTCTAAACTGATGTTCAGGAGTTGGCATTGTAAAATGGGAAGAATGTAAATATTGATCTGTTCATTGAAGATGTTTAATATCAGCCTCACACCGCTCTGGAATCATTAATTGTGTCCTGATAAAAGCTGGAAGTCTTCTATAGACGACGTAATGTTGCCGACAAGAAGCTCGGTTTAGTTTGAACAGTGTTTAAGCATTTATTAACACTGCCATCTTGTGTTTGGACACGTGCCATCAGCTCTCATCCACACACACACACACACACACACACACACACACACACACACACACACACACACACACACACACACACACACACACACACACACACACAGCAGTAAACCTCATGTTTATGTTGATCTGTGAAGGTCATGGGCTCCATGCTGGACGATCTGATCTATAAACGCGGGGAATATCAGGAGAACTGCACACGGTTCCTGAAAGCCACTTTGCCGACTGGAACTGGTGAGTGAAGCTGCTGGGAGGAGATGTCATATTTTAATAATGTTTGCTATGGAAGTCATTGTACGAATCACTCCGCAGGAATCTTCTGCAACGGGACATTTGACGTGTTTGCGTGCTGGCCTCACTCATCTCCCGGGATCGTGTCCGTCCCCTGTCCTCCGTATCTCCCGTGGATCCGAGAAGGTCTCCTGCTTTACTTTTACACGATTTTACACTTTTAACAATTACATTCAAAAAGTTGAAGGGTTCAATAATTTCACGGCATAATATTATTTAATAATACATATATTGAATTTACACTGCCTGTCAATTTTTTTTAAGAAGTATTATAATTTTTCACATTTTTTAACTGTATTTTTTAACAATTAAATGCAGCCTTGGTGTTCTTTCAAAAACATTAGCAAATCGTTATTATTCCAAAATGTTGACGGTAGTGTATAAATAATTTGCTAACACTCAATAAGGTTCATCAGGTAACCATGAGCAATATATTTGTACAGTATTTATTAATCTTTGTTAATGTTAGTTAATAATAATCCAGCTGTTCATGTTAGTTCACAGTGCAGTAACTGATGTTAACTAATACAACCTTTGATTTTAATAACGTATTAGTAAATGTTGAAATTAATATTAACTAAGATTAATAAATGCTGTAGAAGTATTGTTCATTATTAGTTCATGTTCACTACAGGTGAAACTCGAAAAATTAGAATATCGTGCAAAAGTTCAGTATTCAACTTGATTCAAAGTGTGAAACTAATATATTATATAGACTCATTACATGCAAAGTGAGATATTTCAAGCCTTTATTTGTTATAATTGTGATGATTATGGCTTACAGCTTATGAAAACCTTTTCACAATATTCTAATTTTGAATTTGGGGTTTTCATAAGAGCCATAATCATCAACATTATAACAAATAAAGGCTTGAAATATCTCACTTTGCATGTAATGAGTCTATATAATATATTAGTTTCACCTTTTAAAGGATTAGTTCACTTTAAAAAAAACTTTTGCTGATAATTTACTCACCCCCATGTCATCCAAGATGTCCATGTCTTTCTTTCTTCAGTCGAAAAGAAATGAAGGTTTTTGATGAAAACATTCCAGGATTTTTCTCCATATAATGCACTTTGCTGGGCACCAAACGGTCCAAGGTCCAAAAGACAGTTTCAGTGCAAACTGTTCAAAGGGCTTTAAACGACACCAGACGATGAATAATGGTCTTATCAAGCGAAACGATCGCTCATTTAAAAAAGAAATAACAAAGTTTAAGTTTAATAATGTCAAATGCTGGCCTTGCTCTGTTCTGTGATGCACGTTTGTGACTCTCCTGTTCGAACTCGTTCATCAAAATGAACAAATCTTTTTTCGAGTCATTTGGTTCATTTAACGAACGAAAGGAACGAATTGACTCTGAAAAAGATTCGTTCATTTTGATGAACGAGTTCGAACAGGAGAGTCACACAGAACAGAGCAAGGCCAGCATTTGAGCTTATAAAACTTAAACTTTGTTATTTCTTTTTTAAATGAGCGATCGTTTCGCTTGATAAGACCATTATTCATCATCTGGTGTCGTTTAAAGCCCTTTGAACAGTTTGCACTGAAACTGTCTTTTGGACCTTGGACCGTTTGGTGCCCAGTAAAGTGCATTATATGGAGAAAAATCCTGGAATGTTTTCATCAAAAACCTTAATTTCTTTTCGACTGAAGAAAGAAAGACATGGACATCTTGGATGACATGGGGGTGAGTAAACTATCAGCAAAAGTTTTTTTTAAAGTGAACTAATCCTTTAAGTTGAATACTGAACTTTTGCACGATATTCTAATTGTTCGAGTTTCACTTGTAATGAACCTTATTGTAAAGTGTTACCAATAATTTTCTACTTAAGAAACAGTAACACCGTGATAACTGTGTGGTTGTTGTCAGGAGCGGCTGGAAGCGTGTATAAGGAATGCATGATCACCGGCGCCTGGAAAACTGAGGAGAACTCCAGCAGCGTCTGGAGAAACCAGTCCGAGTGCGAAAACCATTATTTTTTCAAGTCTGAGGTGAATATTGCTTCCACACATTAAAGCATGGTCTCCATCATGGCTAGTGTTTACCGTGGCGCCCTGCGCACACAGGAGGAGGAGGTGTTTCGGCAGTCTGTGCTGCGAGTCTTGTCCATCGTCGGATACTCGCTGTCGTTCTCTTCTCTCTGCTTGGCTGTTCTGATCATGAGTCTCCTGAGGTGAGTGAGTTCTGCAGGGCTCAGTGTTGGGTCCCTTTATGTTTCATATAGTAAGAATGTAACTTTAAAGTGCCCCTATGATGCTATTTTAATGTTGTTTTAGCGTCTCCTCTAACAGGTTTACATCATTCCAGCTCAGAAACACTGATTTCCTCATAATCTCCACTGCAGCTTCAGCTCTTTCCTCTCAGTGTCTGAAACGCTTCCATCGAAGACTCAGTCTCTCTAAGCCCCGCCTCTCTGAGAGCTGCTCTGCTCTGATTGGTCAGAACGCTCATTATCATATCTGAATCTCAGCTCTTGATCACAGTGATACGAACAGTAACGATGGCGTGGGTTTCACCGTCTCAATCTCAGAAAACAGCGTCTTCTCGACACGAACAACACGAGCCGAACTCTCCCAGTCTCAGATACACTACAGTGTTTGAGGGCGGAGCTAAGAGACGCTGCTCAGCCAATCAGGACCACAGGCTGGCATTATGCTAATGAGTTACAAACCTACATAGGTCAGACTGGAATTACTGACGACTCGTTTCCGTTCAGAATCGCTTCTTTCTTTTGCGAGACAAAAACTCAATTTATCTGCACTTTGATTTTGAAACATTGCAGAGCTTTTACATTCACAAACAGCTTTATTTCACACTACATGAAAGGTCACATCCCAAAAAAGCATAATATGGGCACTTTAAGATAGTTTGCAAACTTGTTTCCATCTAATAACACTTTAACCACAATCTCACTGGTAAAAGATCATGATTCATGGTCATGCAGATGATAAATGAATCGCTCCTGTTCACGGTGTTTACATTCAACCAATGTTCTCTGTCGAGGACTTGCATGATTAGATTTATCTTTGCATGCATTTCCAGCGCATGTCCGGTCACTCGTCCCGAGCCCAGAGCCGGCTCCAGATATCTGATACTAATTTTATTTGTCCCTAACCCAAGCAATAAACTATTTTTACCTGTTGTTTTCAGGAAGCTTCACTGTACGAGGAACTACATCCACATGAATCTCTTTGTATCGTTCATATTTAGAGCGACAGCCGTAATTACCAAAGAGGTTATATTACAAGTCACGTATACCAACCTTCCCAGGGATGAACTGGGATGGAACAGCTACACAAAATCTGCGGTACAGAAACCTTCATTTGTGTTCGCTTTCACTCCTGTGGTAGCCTGGGAAAACCCAGACAACTTCCGGCAAATTTAGATTTGCTCTGAAAGTTAGTCTGGCAAAGAGCTCATTCAAGCCCATTTCCAATCCGCCGAAATCGCGGCACCAATCAGAAGCGTTGGGGCGGGCTTTACACGATGACGACAGCGCTGGGATTTTGAAGCAGATTTTGTAGCCTACATTACAAAGATGGATGCCGCCGTCGAACATCACTCGTTCCAATCAGCTATCGCGTCTGTTTTAAGCCATTTGAACGTTTCCTTTTAGTTAAAAACCGAGTAAAGAACAACACTCGGAGATGTGTCTCCGCCGCTCTGCATACGTCATCTCCTTCATCGCTCTGATTGGGTTTAGGTCTATCCACGGCGGCCGTTGGTGACGCCCCTCTGGAAATGATTTGTCTATGACGCTTTGCCAGACCATAACTCAGTTACGACTGAGAAAGGTCCGGTTTTAACCAGGCTACTCCTGTGGAGTCACATGGCAAATTATGCCTTTCTTACTGAGCATTTGTGTCTGGTTTCCAGTCCAAATATCAAACATTTCTTAAATCAAGATATTAAGTCTTGTTTTCTGGGGAGTTTGAGTTTTTGCTTAAAACAAGCAAAATGATCCGCCAATGGGGTAAAAAATAATAATCTTGTTTCTTAAGATAATAATTAAGATTATTTTTCTTACCCTAATGGCAGATCATTTTGCTTTTTTAAAGGAGAACTCCGGCGCAAAATGAACCTTTGGTCTAATTACACATTGTTACCTAGTCAACCGTTATCTGAGATTTGTTTTCATGATTATCGAATGTAAATAGTTTTATCTCTAAAAACAGTTTAGCCTATAAAGCTAGTATAACGCTAGTATATTGGGCATTGTGTAATGACAAATAAAAATCGCTTGTTAATACCACTAACAAGGCTCAAAATAGCCCCACACTAACACGGTAGCGTAATGAGGGTCCCTACCTTCAAACCGAAGCATTGAGAACTTTGTCAGTGTCCAGACAGTTTAATAAGAAGATATTTAATACATACAGTCAACTTCGCGTATACAGGCAGGAGCCATCTTTGAAATACAGTCTCTACCAGTCGATCTACGAACGCCGATCCAAGCCTGCTGTTCGCGCTCACCTTATCACAACTTATAGCTCGTTCACATCTCACCAGCGCACTTGGATCGGCGTTCGTAGATCGACTGGTAAAGGCTGTATTTCAAAGATGGCTTCCGCCTGTATACGCGAAGTTGACTGTATGTTTAAAATATCTTCTTATTAAACTGTCTGTACACTTACAAAGTTCTCAATGCTTCGGTTTGAAGGTAGGGACCCTCATTATGCTACCGTGTTAGTGTGGGGCTATTTTGAGCCTTGTTAGTGGTATTAACAAGCGATTTTTATTTGTCATTACACAATGCCCAATATACTAGCGTTATACTAGCTTTATAGGCTAAACTGTTTTTAGAGATAAAACTATTTACATTTGATAATCATGAAAACAAATCTCAGATAACGGTTGACTAGGTAACAATGTGTAATTAGACCAAAGGTTCATTTTGCGCCGGAGTTCTCCTTTAAGCATCAACTCACTTCATTTTGATTAATTCCCCCTTAAACAGGACTTAATATCGTATGTTATTTTACTCATCTAGTAAACGCATCTTGATTTAAGAATGTTTAGATATTTGTACTGGAAACCAGACAGAAATCCTCAGTAAGAACAGCATTGTTTGCAGTGGCACGTCTTACTGTACGCTATTCTGTAGCATTTTCATTGTGTGGATGCACAAAAGATGCAGTAATATAATGTCAACCCTACAGATTTCTTTCCTCTGCAAGGCCTCAAAGGTGTCGCTGGAATATTTTGTGGGCTGTAATTACTTCTGGCTTCTAGTGGAGGCGATCTTCCTGCACACGCTCCTGTTCACGGCGGTGCTGACCCGCAAGAGGCTCCTGAAGAAGTACATGCTCATCGGATGGGGTGCGACTCGGCCTTAATACACAACTATCCTTTCCATTGTCCTTGTCACACATTTAAAGATGACTTTACTTGAAGCCTTTAATGCATTTTAAAGGTATTCATAATGTAAGTTCTAATGCATTTGTATAAATAAATAAATAATTGTAAACAAAGTTAAAATGCTTTATAATTTTTGCATTAAACGGTGGATTACAAGGCATAATTAATGCATTAGACTTTTTATAATGCATCATATACAAAGGCTTTAAGTAAAGTGTTACCATGACTTTATTAATACTTTATTCAACCAACTCATTCAGGAACTCCATTATTGTTCGTGATTCCCTGGACCGTAACCAAAACTTTGTATGAAAATAAAAGGTACGTGCATTTCTTACTTCCCACTTTAAAGAAAGTTTTGCGCGTAATACAGAAAATAATGTGTGTGAGAAGGTGTTGTTTAGCAGAATAACGGAACGATTCACTGAAAGAAAAAATTTGCTAGTACATTTCATAAATAATTACAAAATCTGCAGTTTTAAACTTTGAAATTGATTGATTTGATAAAAAGACTGAAGTTGTACGCTAATTATGTTCATTTGCAACTTGAAAAAATCTTAAAGTCCCCGTGAACCGGAAGTTGCAAACGACTTTTCTCCAGTGTTGTGACGTATTTCCGAGAGAAACGGAATACTAAATGAGGCAAAATGGTGGGCGTGGCTTTTCCCCAACTAGCACCTGATTGGATCTAGAAAAGTAGGTGTTTTCATTCAGCCTGTCTACTGTCAGTTGGAGGGGCGTGATTACGGATGTTAAGCAGACGCCCAAACCGTCAAACCTACGTCATCAGGCAAGGTCCTCCAACGCAGAGGGGAGGGGAAATTTCAGATTTTGATTAAAGATTACGAAGCCCAAAAATTTTTTTGTGTGGATTGACTTGCATGGATGAATTGTTCACCACAAAACGATCAATTTAGGCAAACAAAGTAAGTATGGTCAATTTTGAATTCATGGGGACTTTAAACATAAGGGCTTATTATTAAATTTCTTCACCACAATTAAAATAAATTTTAATTTATTTTAATAAATAGTAAAATAATACTTTACTATAAAGTTTAATTTGTTAACATTGGTTCATGTTAATTATTGTATTAATAACTGTTGAAATCAACATTGACTAATACATGATCATATTTGTTACTATTAGTTAAAGCACTGTGAGCTAACATCAACAACTATATTTTTACTAACATTATTAATGCTTTAAAAAACAGTTCATGTTATCAAACTAATGCATTTACTAATGGCACTTCTTTGTAAAGTGTTTCCATACATTCTTATGCTTATCTGTTATAATTCTAAACTGTTTTAATATATTTTATCACCTTTTTTATTTGTATTATTTTAACTCCTTCTATGTAAAGCATTTTGAATTACCATTGTGCATTAAATGTGCAATATAAATAAACTTGCCTTGCCTATTAATGGTTCTAAGGCTATATCTGCGTAATATAATGCATTGCATGTGTTCTTTTGTAAAGCTGTTGGTTAAATAATATCCGATGGATCTGGTGGATAATCAGAGGCCCGATAACACTGTCAGTGATCGTGAGTAAGATGCCTTATTTCATTACAAATGTCTTGTTTCCGTCATGCAACTGCTGTCTGTAGTGACGCGTGTCCAACACTGGTTTGCATCGCTCTTCTGTCCTGCTGGAGCACTGTCACTGGTGATCCTCGTGCCGTCGCGTCTCATGCTGGTCACGAGCGCAACACGACAGTCACAGTGTGTTACACAGGCGTTCTGCTCCACGCTGTGTTTCATGCTCTTTACTCTTCAGAGCAACAGCGACTCATAAACATACAGTGAAAATGTGCATCACTATAATAAAATCAAAACCTCATTAACACTCAATCCTGCTGAAAAACTAATCATGCACAAGTCAAACGCTGATATCATCATGCACTTCAATGTTGCTTTTACATCTATTTATTCCAGCCCGTTCTCATCCCAAGGAGTCATATACTGACGCTTTGCCAAAGCGTCTATATCCAACGCACATGGCACCCTTTAGCGTCAATATGAGACGCAGATATATGGCGCCTCCTAGTGGTCTAACCCTAACACTGCCCAGACCTAAACCTACCCATAACCGAAGCATGTTAAAGGATTAGTTCACTTTAAAAAAAACTTTTGCTGATAATTTACTTTCCATGTCTTTCTTTCTTCAGTCGAAAAGAAATGAAGGTTTTTGATGAAAACATTCCAGGATTTTTCTCCATATAATGCACTTTGCTGGGCACCAAACGGTCCAAGGTCCAAAAGACAGTTTCAGTGCAAACTGTTCAAAAGGCTTTAAACGACACCAGACGATGAATAAGGGTCTTATCAAGCGAAGCGATCGCTCATTTAAAAAAGAAATAACAAAGTTTAAGTTTAATAATGTCAAATGCCCGCCTTGCTCTGTTCTGTGTGACTCTCCTGTTCGAACTCGTTCATCAAAATGAACAAATCTTTTTTCGAGTCATTTGGTTCATTCAACGAACGAAATGAACGAATTGACTCGGAAAAAGATTCGTTCATTTTGATGAACGAGTTCGAACAGGAGAGTCACACAGAACAGAGCAAGGCGAGCATTTGAGCTTATAAAACTTAAACTTTGTTATTTCTTTTTTAAATGAGCGATCGTTTCGCTTGATAAGACCATTATTCATCGTCTGGTGTCGTTTAAAGCCCTTTGAACAGTTTGCACTGAAACTGTCTTTTGGACCTTGAACCATTTGGTGCCCAGCAAAGTGCATTATATGGAGAAAAATCCTGGAATGTTTTCATCAAAAACCTTAATTTCTTTTCGACTGAAGAAAGAAAGACATGGACATCTTGGATGACATGGGGGTGAGTAAATTATCAGCAAAAGTTTTTTTTAAAGTTAACTAATCCTTTAAGGCCATTGCACACTGAAGTCCGAAATTTTTGCATGCGTTTTTCGTATTCGTGATTCGGTGGCTCTGAATTGTCAAAACTCCATTCAAACTGCTTGAGCTACGGATGAGAAAAACGCAGAAAATCAAACCCAATCCGATTTTTTTTATGACGGACGAAAGTTTCAGAGGCAGTGTGCAAGCGTGAGGTCACTTAACGTGAGGTCGATTTTTTTTTTTAACGTGCGAAAATTTCGGATGCGAATTTCGGACTCGGTGTGCAATGGCCTTTATATTGACGCTAAAGGGTGCCATGTGCATCGGATGTAGACGAAAAGCGTCAGTATATGACGCCTTGGGATGAGAATGCGTTGTTTATTCAGACACTTTGTCTCATTTAGTAAATGTTGGAGTACCTTTTATATGTCTGGAGAAAATTTAATAAAAAAACTTGTTTGTCTTTCAGGTCATTTTCTGCATTTTCCTCAAAATCATCCGACTTTTGCTGTCCAAGTTAAAGGCCGACCAGGTGAAGTTCACGGACTACCGTTACAGGTCAGTCGTGCTCGTCTAGAACTGCTGTTGCTCGTGTGTATAAGAACTAGCGATGCGCTAATCTCTCACACAATGTAACACTGTCCATCAATAAAAGGGTGAAAGAAATACTGACGAGGTCCTGATATTGACGAGGGGGCGGAGAATTCGCATCAGCTGTGTGTGTGTGTGTGTGTTTAGCCATCAAGTGGTATTTCAGACTGGACGTGCTGCGATGAACATAGCTCAGTTCGACAAAACACACAGATCACTTTGGTCTTGTCAATGGGACCATTTGGCAACTTTTTAAAAGTAAACTTTCCATTCAGAATCTTATTGGCATCCATTTCGGCGTCTCGCGCTCGTCACCCACTCAAAACGTAACGTTAACCAACTATTTGGCCGGCTCGCAACAAGTGTGTTTCCGGTCTAGCTTGATCTGGTGCTTTCAGACAGGACCATAGGACAGGACGCAGAATGCGCGGCGCTACGCCAGTTTTCAAAACTTTTTGGATGCCAAAACGTTTCTATTGGCCGCGCTGGTAATCGTCACAGTGGCAAAAGTTGAACTATTTTGAATTTTGACCGCGGTGTGCGCGCCGCTGCTCTTGCGCTTTGGTCGACGAAGCAGCAAAACGTCCTCGTGCGGCGCAAGCCATTGAAATGAATGGGGTTCATAGCGCATGCCGCGTCCGGTGCAAAAGCATGTGAAAAAAACAACAAAGTTTGCAAGGCCAAAAAGACTGTTAATCGCGCGATAAAAAAATTAATTGCGTTAAAATGGGTTTGCGTTAATGCCGTTAATAACGCGTTTAACTGACAGCCCTAGTTTGAATTGCTTGAAATATGATTGGAATCCCTTCAAAAAGGAAAATAGAGTTAAAGTGTGCAAGACTGTCATATCGGCTACATAACATTATCATGAGAACATCATTATAATTGTGTGATTGGGACATGATGAGACTTTCGTTGTTGTAATCAGGCTCTCAAAAATTATATCAAAATTCGGATTTAGATTTATCGGCCAATATATCCGTTATCGGCTTTCAAATATAAAGAGTTATCGGTTATCGGTATCGGCCAAAAATTTTGATTTCGTGCATCCATAATGAAAACTCACACATTTCACACGCTTTGCACAGTTTAGCCAGAGCAACGCTCGTGTTGATTCCTCTGCTCGGGATCCACGAGATCGTCTTCACCATCATCATCGACGAATCAGTGGAAGGAAGCAACCGATACGCTCGAAACTTCGTCCATCTGACCCTGAGCTCGTTCCAGGTGAGCGAACTCCTCGCTTCTCCTCTCCCGACTCAGGACGCCTCTAACGCGAGCTCTGTTCGTCCACAGGGGCTGCTGGTTGCAGTGCTGTACTGCTTCGCAAACGGAGAGGTACGTGTGGGGAAGGCGTTTAGAGAGTGTGAGACAGCGCTGCACGATTAATCACAACTAACATGTAATCGCACTGAAACCGAGTTGGCTTATCGCGATTATGAAATGGCAAAGGCTGTGATTGTTTATGTGCAGCGTGTCAGTGAAGCACGGCTCAGTAAACGCGGCTCACTCTGAAAACACTGAATTTGAGTCGCTTATATAGTGTGTTTGAGAAAGCAACGCGAGACACACATCTTTCCAGACATGAGACGCATTTATGAACCTCTTGTCCAACAAAAGACGACATTTAATAACACGCTTTTCCTGTATGAAAAATATGTGGTGTGTGTGTGTGTCTGTGTGTGAGACGCCCACTAGTGTTCAGAGGGATATGTGGTGTGTGTGTGTGAGACGCCCTCTAGTGTTCAGAGGGATATGTGGTGTGTGTGTGTGAGACGCCCTCTAGTGTTCAGAGGGACATGTGGTGTGTGTGTGTGAGACGCCCTCTAGTGTTCAGAGGGATATGTGGTGTGTGTGAGTGTGTGTGAGATGCCCTCTAGTGTTCAGAGGGATATGTGGTGTGTGTGTGAGTGTGTGAGATGCCCTCTAGTGTTCAGAGGGATATGTGGTGTGTGTGAGTGTGTGTGAGATGCCCTCTAGTGTTCAGAGGGATATGTGGTGTGTGTGTGAGTGTGTGAGATGCCCTCTAGTGTTCAGAGGGATATGTGGTGTGTGTGTGTGTGTGTCAGACGCCCTCTATTGTTCAGAGGGATATGTGGTGTGTGTGTGTGTGTGTGTGTGTGAGACGCCCTCTAGTGTTCAGAGGGATA